CCGGGCTAAGTTCGGGTTCACTATTAGCATCACTCGAGCTATGCTCGGGCTCCTCGGCCGCTGCGTCCGCGGTCGGATCTGACTTTTAGACAGATAAAACTGAGAAAATGTGAAAAAAATGCACATAAAATAGTACTGTCAAGGTATATGTGTTTTTAATTGGGATTTGTGCAAATGCAACACAAGTTTCCTTTGGTCTCCATTTAATTTCATTACTTATAAGAGTTTGCAGACTCTTTTGTCGTTTTCAAGCTATAGAAAAATGTTAAACTACTGTACAATGCAAAAGCCAACTTTGGACTGTAATTTCTTGGCTGCGACAATTTATCGTCATGACACAAAGACGCAGTGCAGCACTTTTATCACATCATTTATCAGGCTGTCAGTCAAATCCATAGAATTGTTTAAGAGCAGGTCAATAGCAGGTGTTAAATGTATTTATGTCACTCATGTTTCCCTATTGAAAAAAGCCTCTCAGCTGAAATCTTATCAAACTGTAAATCCAATAATGGTGCTTTGTCGTGTTCTGGCAAAGACTGAGAGATGGATCAATATGTTAGTCAATTTTTTACAAACTATTTTGTTTAGTCTGTCTGTTTGTAAGATGCCTGTGATCTTTATATCAGTAACACTGGCATGTGATTGGTCGATTGTGACAGTTGTCCAACTGTTGCTTCATCTGCTATGAAAAATCTCTAGTTTGTCTTGTCATGTCTAAATTTGATAGTTAATTGAGCGATTGAGTCAGCATTGTGTTTTTTAATGACTGGTTGTTGATTTGAAAAGGGAAAGAAAGAAAGTATCTATGTTTTTCTGTAAATTCTGCCTCTGGTAGCTGGTATTTTTAGCAATATTTGTGGTGGGTTTTTTTTTTAGATGCACCAATTAAACACACATTCACCTGCTCAGTAGTGATGCCGGTTTGTATTTACAAGTCTGTGTCTGTGCCTGTGGATAAAACATCCACCTGCTGTGAGACGATGTGAGTTTGTCAGGTAAACTTGGGTCTAATGAAAACTGCTCTCTTTGTCTCTGTTTCTTCATAGGATGAAAGGATTTGATTCACATGTATGTAGCATGTAAATGCCATGGTATAGAAATATGGTAATCATTCTGTTCCATATTATTTATATGATACAATCCTTGTACCTTGCTGCCTCCACAGTACTTTTTTGATGGATGCTGAAGTCTGTTGTCAGTTGTTGGATCATTTTTCAATTGGTTTTTGTTTCAGTTTAATCCTTACAAATGTATTTGATTATTATAGTAAATAAGATTAGTTTCTGGTTTTTGTTATAATTTGCATCATCTCCTTTAAAACTTTGAGCGGTTACCATAGAAACATGCAAGCAAGGGTTTTGTCTAAAATGATCACTGCAGTGTTATGCTAGTTTATGATCATTTGTTTTTATGTATTAATATATATTCACTTATTTTGAAATTTTTATAATTTTTAGTCATAATGCATTTATCACTGCTGAGGTCATAGAATATTGACAGTGTTGTTTTAGTATTATTTCAATGCTATTACTGTATTTATTAATATTTTGAATTAGCTTTTATTTTTATATTTTCACTTTTCATTTTAATTGTATTTTAAGTTTTAGTAAATTCTGCTTTTGTCATTTTTATTAGTTTTTCGGGGTCTCATATTTCTATAGCTTTAATTTATGTCTGTTTTAGTTCTAGTAATTTTAGTACTTCAACTTAAATATATTTTATTTCATTTAACTGCAAGGCAACATTTCATCCAATATTTATATTCGGTTTATTTCAGCTTTATTTCAGTTATCAAAAATGATTTTTTAAAAATAGTTTTAACAATAACACTGGTTGACATGCACATCTCTGATAGTTAAGTGTCAGGGTTGGGGATGAAGGATGGAGCGAGGACTCAATAGTGCAGGAAGATAAGGGCTTTAATAAAATAAAACAAAACAAAACAAAGACAACAAAAACTACCCCGTGGGGAAAAAACGGGCTGGCAAGGCTAAGCAAGGCAGGATCTGGACACGACACGAGACAATTGACATGAGAGCACATGGCATACAGGAAACAAATACAAAAGCCATGTGCTCACACAAAACAAAACACAAGCACATGGCCAGCCAAACAAATCACAAGCCATGTGCTTGAACAAAAAGACACGAACACGCAGCTAATGAGAAAACTCATAAGCCGCGTGTTCACACAAGACAACAAGAAAAGCACGCGGCTGAACACAAACCGCGTGCTACACAAAACACGTGGACAGAAGAGCACACGGCCGAGCGAACTCGAGACCGCACGCTCCCACAACAGACAGAACATGGAGCGCGAGTGTCCGGACCCCGAAACAAAACCGAAACTCAAGACCTGAGTGCCGGGATCCGAACACCACGCTCCAACATGAAACAGTACACGCAGGCGAGAGCGCATGGCTCGAGCACTCTCAAAGCCGCACGCTCACATGAAAACAATGACATGACGGGAGTGTCAGGCCTCTGTCAAAAAACCATGAATTACACTAGACCGAAGTGACAGAACCCTGACAGTTAAGTACTAAATTGATGCATATACCAGATATAAAGATATCAGTGGAGACCAGCTTCTGGTTTTATAATGAAATGCTTCTATATTTCCAGGATGTTTATTTCGGAGAAGAGCCTCTTAGCGTGAGCAGAATTACTTTGCTGAAGTAAAAATAACATTTGTTTTCATTGTCTGAGCATTTTATTGAAGGTATCATTGAAATAATGTACAAAAGACAGTGCAGGGGCTCTTTGCTTTGTTCACCGTGGATTTTTTATTTGCAAGTGTGTACATTCATATAAGTGGATAAATCCAGCTGCATTAAAAAGATAATTTTGTACACACATTGCTATATTTGTACATTAGAAGCAGTCTGTTTAATATATTGTTCTTAGGCTATATCTAATTTGCACAGCCCTTGAGTTTTTTGAGCACTGTAAATTTGTGGAAAAGTCTGAATGATTGACACCCCATGTGCACAACAGTATGACATGTTGAACAGTTTGTGCTTGTTTTTATTCATGGCAAATTAAATTTAAACAAAATATCTTAATGGATCGTTTGAGTGATACATGTTCTAATGAGTGATATTGTTTCAAATCATGAAACAGGTTTTTGTTGCCTGACTTTGATGATGTGTATCTTCAGCACAGTTTGCAGTGCAGGCTGCTATATTGATAATATTAAATGTTTTATTTTTTTGCTTCTTAGAAATTTGAATTTGAAATTTGAAACATTTGACAGTAGCTTGAGTTGACAGTAGAATTAGCTTGAGTTACATGCAAATGTAAATTTATGTTCATTATCAAAAACAGTAACATCTGTAAAAATTGTAACAACCTCATTTTTATATGGTGAAATGTAATTATTCAGACTGTTTGAGTTTTATTAAAATTAACCATTGGTCTTCCATACAGTAGTAGCATACATTTAGATCATGATAAACACAGTCAAAAACACACATATAGCACCTCAATACCATGGTAAAAATCTAACTTTATGGTTTCTAGGTATTTGTATGAAAAACAGTATTTAAAGAGACTACATTTAGTATAAATGCACAAAAACTACTGTAATTATACTCTATTACTCCTTTAACATATTTAATACATGTCTACATTAATAATGTAATAAAATTCCATATGTATATCCCACATTTCTGCCACAATACCATGGTGCAGTTAGTGTTACTACAGTAAATCCATGGTAAATGATGGTGATTTGTAGATTGAAAAGCTTTCTGACTGTATCGTTGCGCACAGTGTTTTTCCAGTTTGTCAGCGCTGTTTCATCTGGCTTTAAACTAGTTTAAATTACCATGTTCTACGCTGTGTCACATGACCAAGACTTATCAGTAATTAAACGCATCTGCTCTAGCAAGCTCGCGCTGTGCTGCCGTTTGAACTTTGCGCCATTTGTGCCAACTTCTTTCAATGGAAAGTAACTAAAAAAATCGCTAAATGTGACTAGATGACGCCATACGCTAATTAGCATTTTCATGACATCCTTGCGTCGTATTGCCTTTTACATTTGTTGTCCAAGAAGTCGCTAGGCACTTTTTTTGGAAAAAAGTTGCTAAAGGGGTCTGAAAAGTCGCTAAGTTGGCTCACTGCTTTGAGCCGAGCGGATAAATGGTCCGTGTGTGGCAAGGTTCAAATGAGTCGTGCTGGTTTGTTCCGCTTGTGGTGCATAAACATTGTATCAAACATTTATCGAACTCTTGTTATCTTTTTATAGAGGAAAATTAAATTGCGATAATTATCGTTTTATCGCCAAGTCCTAGCGTCATATAATAAAAAGTTTAAGTTTATCTGTAAGTTTTGATAAAAATCAACCCCTAGGCCATTAAAGTGCCCATAGTCGGAAAAACACTCATATATTTATGCTGTTTTTCCCCTCAAGACCACTTGTGATTCAAGGGAAGTCCAGCACCCCAGAACAAAGATCAAAGCTCTGATCTAATTTGGAAGGTGAAAAATTGAAGGGGGTCTGAATACTTTCCGTACCCACTGTATAAGTGGGAGCAATCAAAGGCAGACTATGAGGCAGGTTATGAATGCAAGGATCCTCATATTTTTTCATACAGTATTTTATGCTTTTACAATAAGGCAGAGCAGATTATCGTGTGTGTGTGTGTGTGTGTGTATGCGCGCATTTGCTTGTGTACTTGTCCTCGTATCTCGTAATCATAAACAAATGGAGTATAATTGAGCATGGACAATGTGAGAGACAATGTCTCTCTTCTATTTGATTAAAAATACAGTAAAACAGTAATATTGTCAAATTATTACAATTTGAAATAACTCTTTTCTATTTTAATATGTTTAACTGTCTGTCTATCTGTCTATCTATCTACCTATCTATCTATCTATCTATCTATCTATCTATCTATCTGTCTGTCTGTCTGTCTGTCTGTCTATCTATAGAAAAGAATCACCCCCCCTTAAAATAGTCACATTTTGTTGCTTTGCAGCCTGAAATGAAGACAGACACAGTTTTTGTTTTATCTGGCTGTATTTACTCAGTGCAACTGAAAGATATAACACCAACATGTCAGAAAAAACAAACAAAAAACAGAATCACTGAGACCCTGTCCACACGAACGTGGTTATTTTTAAAACCGCAGCTTTTTCTACGTGGTTTGGCCGTTCGTCCACATGCAAACGCAGCACCAGGTCACTGAAACCGAACATTTTTGAAAACTCCTGCCAGGGTGAAGATTTTCAAAACCTCTGGTTGCAGTCCCTCCTAAAAATGACTTGTAAACTCAATCAGGTGTAGCTAATCACCTTCTCAATGGCACACAAAGCCATTAGACTTTTAACTGGGATCAGCTGTGCTTATTTTGATCAGCTCAGCAAGAAAAGAGCTTTCCAGGAGCATTTCAGGCCTTGGCAGTGCGACTGAAGCAAACAATCAACTATGGGTGGCAAAGCACTGTCAAAAGATCTCCGGGATAAAGTTGTGGACAGTCACAAGTCAGGAGATGGATACAAAAAAAGAGAGGCTACCAAGAGGCCTACAGCAACACTGAAGCAGTTGTAGGAATTTATGACAAAGAGTGGTCATTGTGTGTGCATGTGACAACGATATCACAAACTCTCCACAAATGCGGCTTGTATGGGAGGGTTGCAAGAAAAAATCTACTCCTCAAGAAAGGCCACATGCAGTCACGACTGAGCTTTGCCAAAACGCACCTTGAAGATTCTGAGGCAGATGAGACTAAAACTGAATTATTTGGCCTCAATACCAAACGATATGTCTGACGGAAATCCAATACAGCTCTCCATCCAAATAACAGCATTCCTCCAGTAAAGCATGGAGGTGGTCATATCCTGTTATGAGGGTGTTTCTCTGCAGCAGGGACTGGAGCACTTGTCAGGATAGAAGGAAAAATGGATGAGGCGA